CCCATTTCTCCCCTTTCCCATTTCTCCCCTTTCCCATTTCGCCCCTTCCCATTCTGCCCCTTCCCATTCTGCATTCTGCCCCTTCCCATTCTGCCCCTTCCCATTCTGCCCCTTCCCATTCCGCCTCTTCCCCATTTCGCCCCTTTCCCATTTCGCCCCTTCCCATTCTGCCCCTTCCCATTCTGCCCCTTCCCATTCTGCCCCTTCCCATTCCGCCTCTTTCCCATTTCGACCCTTCCCATTTCACCCCTTTCCCATTTCACCCCTTTCCCATTTCGCCCCTTTCCCATTTCGCCACTTTCCCATTTCGCCCCTTTCCCATTNACCTGTGAACTCACGCTTGCTATTTCTTGTCATTATAAAAGTTATTTATTTCTGGTATTGGATTCATTGTTTTAAACAAATACTTTTTTTGTACAAAACAACCAGAAATAAATAACTTTTATAATGACAAGAAATAGCAAGCGTGAGTTCACAGGTCCTGCTCATGACCTATGACATTTTAAATCATCTGAGTCCTACCTTGGAGAAGCATCTGTCCTCCCTGGATGAAGATCTGCTGTTGGGCGTCTCCAGCTGGATAGGAGCTAGCCACCGTCAGGGTCTGGGCCCCCCCTCCCTGAAGGGCCTCCACTCCGGGGTTCAACTGGATGGCTCTCCCCTGAGAGATCGCAACTGTGTGGGGTCAGAGGTCAGTGATTACTAAACTGCAGTCAGAGTTGGGAAGTAGTGGAGTACAAATACTTCGTTACTGTCCTTAAGTACATCTTTCTGGTATCAGTACTTCACTACTTATTTTTCTGACGACTTTTTACTTTTACTTCTTACATTTTGAACACAAATACCTGTACTTTTTACTTCTTCCATTTTCCAAACAGGCTGGTTCCTTTAGTCTGAATGTGTGTTTGGTGGCGTGATCATTATTATTTAGAGTCATTGCGTGTCTATTGATTTGAACACGATCCGTGTATCCATCATTTCCTGGTCTTCTCTAAAGAAGAGGGACCAATGAAAACGTTGTCATGTTGCCGTTGGTCACCATGGAAACATTCATTAGCTAGCAATGACATTATTGTTCTATTCATATAAAGGGAGGTCAGGTACTCTTTAAAACAGCTGCTAGTTATGGGTACTTTTTACTTAAGTACATTTCAAAGCCTCTTTACTTTCACTTGAGTAAAGAAGTTTAGTCAGTACTTCTACTTTTACCAGAGTATTTTTAAACACGAGTATGTTTATATATATTTCATATATATATTTAAGCCAGCAGTAATATACTTTATGAGAGGAATAAATCAGAAATCTGAAGGAGAATTGAAGCAGGACATATTTCGTCTCCAGGCTTAAAAATATGTTCCTTTCCAGGGCAAGTGCAGCAAATACAATGGATTATTTTTCTATCCTGATTAACACAACAGGGCTTTTTGGAATATGCTGGAGCTTGGATTTGTGCTTGTGGTTGTTATGCATGTTCTCCATGGCAACAGCACCAAGGCTGATTACTTTTGTATTCGGAGCCATTTAGTGAACTGATTAAAAACCTGCGATTTAGCCGAAGGCCTCGTCTACCTCGCTACTTTTTACAGGAAACTAAATATTGACATGGTCACACTGACCTGATGCTGGGTCAATGGGACCCAGTAATATTTCTACTGTGACATGTCTCCATGCTTTAATGTTCAAAAAGCTCTTTATTTTTCTCATACTGCCTGTGCTGCAGCACCTCTTTTCACCCTCTGTCTGAAACCAGAGCCCAGTCTGCTCTGATTGGTTAGCTGGCCGGCTCTGTTGTGATTGGTCAACCGCTTAGAGATGTCCCGCCCCTTAGTCTATCACGTACAATGTGTTGGAGAGCTAGCCAAGAGAGTGTTATATAATTATTTCAGTATGTTCTGGTAGTAAACAAAGGAGTCCAATAGAAGCGTTCGG